TATATATATAGAGTGTGTGTGGGTGTGGTAAATGGTTACAAATAGACAAATTATTGGAACATATACTTAGAGAGGGAGAAGTAAATGCCTAATAAGCACATGAAAAAAAATGCTCAGCATCCTTTGTCACCAGGAGATGCAAACTAAAACTAGAGAGAATGTCTAGTACAAAAACTGACAATATCAAGTGTTTGCAAGGATAGAGACCAACTGTAGTTCTCTTATATTGCCAGTGGGAGTGTGAAATGATACAAGTTAGAACATCCTTTTTATTAAAAATGAAAAAAAAAAAGCGCCCCAACCTAGAAACCACTCCAACAAGAAGAAAGGAGTTTATTTTGAAGACTGTCTTAGGGTTTTTCCTCATCAGTAAGAAACCATCATGAATTCATATCCTAGAACACTCTACAGAAATGTGGAACTATTGAGACACACTATATAGATGACTTTCAAAATGAGTGTGCTGAAAGACCAAAAGGGGGAAAAATACAGCACATGGGTAGGATCCTATTTAGGTAAAACTCTAGAAAATGCAAATGACAGAAGTAGGTCAGTGGCCTGGAGTTGGGGTGAAGTGGGGAGCAGAGTCTCTTGGTTGCATTTCTACAGCTCACAATCACCTGTAAGTCCAGCACCAGGGCATCTTCTGGGGCTCCCCTGCTTATTTTTTGAAACAGGGTCTCTCACTGAACCTGGAGCTCACCTTTTCATCTAGGCTGGCTTAATGGTCCCTAGAAAGGTCAAGATCTGCCACCCCACCACCACACTGGGGTTATAAACCTGCACCATTCCGTTCGTCTTTTAACATGGATTCTGGGGTCTTGGCTCTAGTCCTCACATTACTGACTAAACTATTCTTATCATATTCTTTTATTTTTAATATCTTTTTATTATTTTTAAGGTTGTGCATGTATGCCCACACATGAGGGCAGGTGCCCTCTGAGGCCAGAAGCATGGATTCCCAGAGTTACAGTATCAGTTGTGAGCCCCGTGACCTGTACACTGAGAACAGAATGCCAGTCATCTGCAAAAACAGTGAGCCCTTTTCTTAAATCTTCAACTCTGTCATATTCTTGAGTGGAGACTTTGGGGACAATAGGAGCTTCTGGGTGTTGATGTAGTTCTTAAATTGAGGGCATAGTTAAGATTCAGGTTAAAAATCATGAGGGTTGTTGTGTGTTTTCCTCTGGGTGGGCCTGGACTTTAAGAAAGGCTGGGATTAAGAAAGCCTAATCAGGTGACAGAGGTGGCTCCTGAGTAGGAGAACAAAGGGCTGAGGAAGCCAGTTGGGTGGCACATGAACACAGGCTGATTACAGCAATCAGATGCCTGGTCTTTTCCTCTTCTGTGACCATCACCCAGTAGCCTTCTGTGACTTTAATTGCTAGATCTGATGTTCTAAGTGGGGTGTAGCTCTAGCCTCCTCTCAGTTCCCTGTTGTCCCTGGGATACATGGAGCCTAGTGTAGAAGACAGGTGAATTTATTCTTGAGGAAACTGGAGCACAGTCTTAAGGAAGAGAGTAGACAATGCCCACGATAGTCACAGAGGCCATTGCCATCAGATCCACTGGAGAGAGGTGACAGGAGATAACGACTGTAGGACCCATAGTGCCAGCTCGTGTTGGACTTTATTCTGTTTTTCCATTTAGATGGACAGCCTTTCTGAGGGTCAGTGTCCTGCTCAGGTGGTCAACCAGGCCCATTTGGATTAAGTCTTTTGGGGGGAGGTTGGGGGCTCAAGACAGATTTCTCTGTGTAGCCCTTCTGTCCTGGCACTCACTCTGTAGACCAGGCTGGCCTTGAACTCACAAAGATACACCTGCCTCTGGCCCCTCAGGTGCTGGGATTAAAGGTGTGTATCACCATTGCCTGACCCCATTGAATTAAGTCTTAAGAGAAGGAATGCTGGTATGATTTTGTTTCTTCTCCAGAAAGCCATTCTCCTGCCGAGGGCTAAAGATACAACTCAGAGCTGAGTACATTAAAAAGAGTGAACCACAAGTAAGAGCAGCAGACATGTGTTGCCAGCAGGAAGCAGCCTTCCCTTAATGGCCTTAACAAAGCTAGTACTCCACCTTCCTTCCTCCCTCCCCCCCCCCTTTTTTTATAGCAAGGAAGGAGTGCTTTTATTTATTTAGTTTTGTGATATAAATTTTTGGATGCATGAGACAGACAGAGCCTTGAACTTCTGACTCCAAGTGCTAGGATTACAGTCATGTGCCACCATGCCCAGTTTATTGTACATGCCAGACAAGCCCTAGTTAACTGAGCCACATCTCCAGCTCCTATCTTTCATATGATACTTTAAATATTAAGGAAACGTGACAATGATGTTTTCTCCCCTTTCATATGGTGATTGTTCTGTTTCTGGTTTTTTGTTTGTTCATCTTGTTTTTTTTTTTTTTTAAAGACAGTCTCACTATTTAACCCTGGCTGGCCTGAAACTCTCTATATAGATCAGGATGGCCTCCAACTCACAGAAATCTGTCACCTCTTCCTCCTCCCAAATTTTCTCTTTGAATGTGGAATTTGAAATTCAAAGGAGAGGCAATTGTGATACTTTCCCCTTGTTAAAATCAGAATGCCTCCGATGATGATGGCCCAAGCTGATTATGGGAGAGGCAGTCCAGCCCTCAATGACCTTCAAGCCTGCTTCTAATAGGAGCATGACAACTTGGGATCTATGGTGGTAGAGTGACATGTATGAGCTGTGGATACTTGAAGAAGTGGTTAGAAATTTTCTAGACGTGACCATTGGGAGAAACCCAGAGTGGGAAGAGTCCACAGCAAAAGATGACAGAAGTCAAGTCACAGATAGTTTGGGGAAATACCAAAGTACTTATCAGGGATGCCTGAAACCACAGGCAGAGAAAACTGAATTCCTTGCAGTCAAAGGGGGGGTGAGGGCTGAGGAGATGACTCAATGGTAAAGGCATTTGAGACGAAGCCTGATGACCTAAGTCCCATCCCTTGACCCCACATGGCAAAGGGTCAAGAACCGACCCTATATGTTGTCCTCTGATGTCCACATGAGCACTATGGGGTGCACACAAAAAATAAATAAACTAGTTTTAAAACAATTAAAAGGGAGTCGGTGGTGAGACAATCATTCACATCTAGATTGCTGAGTGTTTAAAGGGACAGCGGACTTAAGCAGGTCATAGGTCAACCGTGTCCAAGATATAAAGAGATTAACCAAACGTACCCACCTCTAACCTTGCAAGGATTTCTGAAAAAAACTCAGGATTCCTGAGTTGTTCTGGACTTTGAGACAAGGAAATCATCTTGAAGCTGGATCCTGGTCATCTACTTCTGAGGCTAGAAGCAGCCTATGGTATATGATCAGATTCTAACAAGGAATTGCCTTTGCCTATATTGACGTCAGTTAATGACTGGACTTTGGACTTGAAAGACAGTTAAAACTCCAGGCAGCTGAGGAGAGGATTCATTTCCTCCTTGGATTGTCAAGCAAGAACAGCTACCATGAAAGGCTCCCTGTTTCTCTTTCTCAGTCTCCTTTTGGTCAACTTGGGTAAGAAAACTTTGTTGTTGTTGTTGTTGTTGTTGTTGTTGTTGTTGTTGTTGTTGTTGTTGTTGTAACTCAGTTACTTCAATCAGCCTTGTGGCTTCCGAAACAGAAGCAGCAGGCTCGCACCTACCACTTCTTGAAGCTACTGGTAGTCTCCACTTGAGACCATTTTCTGTAAAGGAAATTTCTTGTCCAGCTCAGCTCAAAGATGCTGGCATTTTTGTTTGTGACTGAAAAGACAGCAGTAGCAAAAGAAGTCTAAGAGTGACTTTGGGGTGCAGCAGGGCAGGGGTTTGTCTGGATAAAGGTGACTCAGTATTTCAAGAGTCAGGTACCCTACAGCGGCAAGCCGGGTATGTTCCTGTGATTATCAGAGCACCAGGCCGAGGGGGGAAAATACCTTTGTTTTCACCAATGCTTGAAATTGGAAGTCATTGGCAAAAAAGAGCAACCTCGGTATGGGTTAGCACTGCTACAGGTACCCCTCTTCTGGTCTAGAGAGCTGTTTGGGTGTGAGTGGGTGAAGAATTTGCCCACATGTCTGAAAGAGGACTCCAGATCTAGAAACCAAATGAGAAAAGGAATAAAACATTTGACACAGTGGAAGAGGGAAGAGTAACTGAGTTCAATTTAGTGGAGTATTTGTTTTGCTTTGTTTTTTGAGACAGGATCTCTGTGTATAGTAGATGAACCTCAGCTTCTGATTCAACTGCCTTGGAGTGTTGGGTTATAGGCATGAGCCAACATGCCTACAAGATACGACTTCTTTTTTCCTGAAACAGAGTTTCTTCTATGTAGCTTTGTAGAGCAGGCTGGTCTTGACTTCACAGAGAGCCACCTGCCTCTGCCTCCTGAGTGCTGGGATTAAAGGCATGTGCCACCACCGATGTGACATTTTAAAAAGTCTTATTATATTTATGTACCTAGGGGTGCATGTGTGGAGGTCAGTGGACAACTCAAGGAAATGGTTTCTCTCCTTTCACCGTATGAGGTGGATTGAACTCGGGCTGTCAGCCTTGGCAGCAAGCTCCTTTCTTCACCTTTTGAGCTGAGCCACTTCTCTGGCCCAAGATTTGATTTTTTTTTTTTTTTGAGAGCTTGTTTCAAACTTGGGTGTAGGGAGCTGTCCCAACAGGAGGGCAGGCCTCACCAAACCTCCCCTACCAAGCCTGTGGTCAAACCTTCAGGTCCCAATAAGAACTGGTACATGACTTCTGGAAGTCACCATGAAGAAGAGATACCTTCCATAAGACATAAGAAGAGGATACTGAGGAGGGAAGCTTTTCTGGGAGGGCTTGCAGAAGTGACTAGAGGTCAGAGGATCCATTGACATTGATCTCAAGACCTTCTAGGTGTAGAAAGGAGACTTCACCCAAGAGAATTCCCCAGCAGGGAACAGTAGTAGAGTCCACACTTCAGCAGAAGGCAGGCAGGGATCCAAATACTGTGTTGTGAGTGACTGCTGTGGTTTCTTCCTATGTGATGATAGAGGAGGCAGTCCTATACTGAAGAGTTGCAGCCCATGGTAGGAAGCCAACAGTCACTTTGGCACTTAGTGTCATATCTGCCCTTGTATCCAATTTGTTGTTGTTTTGTTTTGTTTTGTTTTGTTTTTCAAGACAGAGTTTCCATGTGTGACAGCCCCAGCTGTCCTGGAACTTCCTTTGTAGATCACGCTGACCTCAAACTCACCTGCCTCTATCCCCTAAGTGCTGGGATCAAAGGTCTGCACTACCACGCCCTGCCCTTATATGCAGTTTTTAAACATCTGCGTTTGCTCTTGTTTAAAAGTTATTTTAGTAATGTAGACTGGGTGTAAGACATTCAGGACACCCAGAAATGTATGAAAGGAAGCGAGCACCTGCCCTACTATCCCTTAACCTGTCTCACCCTAGCATTCCACCAGCACATAGACCACAGTGGACAGGTTTGCTTTTGAAAAATAAAGTGTTTGCATTCCCATAGAATCTTGAGAATTTGTCTGGTGTGTGAATATAACTGTCATGCCAGTCTTAGCAGCCAAGCACACCTTCCAACTCTCCCACCTAGAAGTGTCCTAAGTACTTACTGGACAATGAAGACTCACTCAGCTGACATTCTAAGTCCCCTCAGCAGGCACCGTTTGCCAGCGTTTTGCTTTCTCTGAGCTCTATGGCTGCTCTTTCCCATGGCATCGAGTGGGAGCCAACATCTCTTACTATTGAAGGACTTCCCGCTGACAGAAGCATTTTGTTGTGACTCTCAACTAGCGTTAGCTATGATATGCCCTGGACAGAGTGTTAGTCCTGGAGTGTTCCAGAAAAGAGTTTATTCAGGGAGCATTTTTTTTTCTCATTTACGTAAATAGTTGGCACACTAACGTGCTCTGTGGGTGTAGGGCTATTGTTGTGTTGGTTAGAAAGAAGCTCTCGGATCGGAGGGAATAAAAAGATGGAAGCTGGGGTTGGAGAGATGCCTCAGTGGTTAAAAGTGACCTAGCCTCATCTCCTAGTACCCACAACCACCTGGAACTCCAATTCCAGGGATCCAACATTCTCTCTGTCCTCCATGGTCTCCTACATGCCTTTTCACAGACCCCTGGCTAAGTTATAGTTAGGATAATAACACATGTCAGGTATGGTGGCTCATACCTTTAATTCTAGCACTTGGGAGGAAGAGACAGGCTGATCTGTGTGATCTCTGTGAGTTCAAGGCCAGCCTGGTCTACAGAGTGAGTTCTAGGACAGCCAGGGCTGTTACAGAGAAACAGCAAATCATCTTGACCTCATGCTGATGGGGTCTTCACACATGGACATTTATGCCTGTCTTATAGGTCCCATTAGGCACAGAGTAAGCCCTTGATAAATGTGGAAGTCCCAGGAGAGAGACAGTAGTGTCCACATGTGACTATGGCCAACTAGTGACTATATTCTTGGCCCTAGAAGAAAAATTGCTTATCTGCTTGTCACTTCTGAGCCATTAGTAGCCAACCCCTATCTAAGGTGAAGAGCCAGGCTATGCCCCGAGGGACTGACAGGCCCATGGGGAAGTCAGAGTGAACCTTCAGCATTCTGTATCACTGGGCTTTATGAATTGCTTCCTCACCACCAAGAGTTTCTTTTTCTAATTTGCATAATCCGTTGTTAATATCAGAGTTCTTAAACACACGAGGAGTTCTAGGAGATGGGCCACTAAAAGCCACTCTTCCAAACATCCTGGGGGGTAGGCGTTGGGGGTTCTAGGAGCCGTAAATGCAGCTTTGATATCTGCAATAGTCTTTAGGATGAGGGCCATTTATTTATCTTAGTCTTTCAAAGTAGATGTGTCTAGAATTTTTAGTGGAGAAATGCACCAGAAAAAAAAAAAAAAAAAAAAAAAAAAAAAAAAAAAGCGAGCTAGGCTGGGCGTTGGTGACGCACATCTTTAATCTCAGCACTTGGAAGGCAGAGGCAGGCACTCAGAGTGAGTGCCAGGATAGGCTCCAAAGCTACACAGAGAAACCCTGTCTCAAAAACAAACAAACAAACAAACAAAAAACCTGGGCCAGAACTCGGGGAGATTGTGAATTTGAGTCCAGCTAGACTGTATAGCAAGACCTGTCTCAAAAAAAAAAAAAAGAAAGAAAGAAAAAAAAGAAAACAAAACAAATAAAAAGCCTGTAAGAACTTTAATCAATATTTAACTAAATATTTCTATGTAATCTATGTAATTATTCTTTAAACACTTCCTTCTTAAGTTCCCCTTCTACAGTCTATTAATAGAGAAAACTGCTGCCCAATGGAGAACCAGGGCAGTTGCCTTAAAATATAAAAAAAATCCACTTCCTAGTGGCAATAGTGCCACCTTGTGGCACTTTCTATTGTCTTCCTCTAAATTGTATGGGAATTTATTAAGCAGATTGACAATTTCCTAACTATAGATATACACATTACTATTACTTGGTACTAATCTCTTTTTTATTGAGATATGGTCTCGTGTAGCTCAGGCTAGTCCCAAACTTGATAGGTAGTAAAGTAAAGGATGACCTTGAAGTCCCGAGCCTCTTCCCTCTGTCTCCAAAGTTCAGGTACTTAATTCAGCTTTGTTTGTTTTCATTTTCCTTTTTGAGACATGGCCTCATGTAGCCTAGGCTGGCCTCCATAGGTATATACCACCTCTCCTGACTTGGTACTCTTCATAAGAAATATTATTACCCCAATTCTACACTAAGTTCTCCATAGCCATTACTAAACTATATTAGGTGTCATAGTTTTCAATAATATTTTCCATTTTTGTCTGTTTAATTTTATTTATCTTTTTTGTGTTTAGAAGTTGTCCTGTGTTTCCACTTTTAACATAATTATGTATATTTATTTTTTCAGAAAATCCTAAGTTGAGTACTGATTAGAACTGACAGTAATTGCCATTATTTATCCAATGCACTGTCTTCTGACACTTGTCTTCTTTGTTCCCTCAAAACTACAGCAGTCTCTTCTTCGAGTACTGCCAGTGTGGACAACGATAAGGAAACTGAGACTAGTACAACTAAGTTGACTGCGTCCTCTGGGTCTGCTGATGCTACAGCTAAGACAACTGTGTCCTCTGGGTCTCCCGATGCTACAGCTAAGACAACTGCGTCCTCTGGGTCTCCCGACGCTACAGATAAGACAACTGCGTCCTCTGGGTCTCCCGACGCTACAGATAAGACAACTGCATCCTCTGGGTCTCCCGATGCTACAGCTAAGACAACTGCGTCCTCTGGGTCTCCCGACGCTACAGATAAGACAACTGCGTCCTCTGGGTCTCCCGATGCTACAGATAAGACAACTGCGTCCTCTGGGTCTCCCGATGCTACAGATAAGACAACTGCGTCCTCTGGGTCTCCCGATGCTACAGCTAAGACAACTGCGTCCTCTGGGTCTCCCGATGCTACAGCTAAGACAACTGCGTCCTCTGGGTCTCCCGATGCTACAGCTAAGACAACTGCGTCCTCTGGGTCACCTGATGCTACAGCTAAGACAACTGTGTCCTCTGAGTCACCTGATGTGTCAACTCAGTCTCCACAGACTAACTCTCCAGTAACAAAGCCAAGTAAGAGTGATCCCTAAAAGTCTCCTCACTGGGGTGCACAGCTCTGAGTGGTGTGATGAGCCAGTGTGTTCTGGAGAGGAAGGGAAATGGCCAGGAAAAAACCTCAAAGTTCAGTCATGACAGAAGAGCCCCTAAGTGAGCAATCAGTTGCATTTGTTTCCTTCCTGCTCCTCAGGCTATCTGCCAGCTATGTAATGTTTTTATGAGTTTGTTCTTTGTGAAAGCTACCCATAGGAGAGTTGGAAGAAGCTTCAGGCTCTCCAAAAAGACCAGGTTTGACTAAGTGCTGGCTGGTCAGCCACACTAGTCTTTAAGGAAAAAGTCAGCTCTATCCTGGACTCAGTCAGGATGGTGACAGATCACAATTTGGAAACTGAGTCAAGCCTTTGAATTTGAGCCTGAGGATTAAGAAGCCAAACAAAGGGAGGGGAGGGGAGGGGAGGGGAGGGAGGCCAACCAAGATCACCATTTGCTCACCTACAGACCATCCCTCCCCCAATCTTACCAGCTCTCTGGAAAGGGGGCCAGAGACATGTGTGCCTGGCCCAGAACCTAGGTCAAGGTTATAGTGCATCCTAGTTCCTACCCTCAGAAAGCTCACTGGATGGCCCAGGCCAGTCTACCCTGAATGAACCTGATCTTGTGAGAAGCTAAGTAGGGAAGGATTTGGTCCATACTTAAATGGGAGGAAGTTTACTGGGTTAATCTGCATTTTTCTCCTTTATTGTCCACTTTCTCCTTCTATTTCTTTCTTCCTTTTAAGACAGAGTCTTGTTCTGCAGCCCTGGCTGGCCTAAAACTTGCTCTATAGACCAGGCTGGCTTCAAACTCCCAGAGATCCTGTGTCTACCTCCTCGGGGCTGGGAATAAAGGTGTATGCCACCATGCCTAGCTTTCTTCCTTTCTTCATGAATGTGTGCCAACTCTGCTCATTAGAATATGACATCTAGTTTCCCTTTGGAACTTCCTGCTATCCTACCCTGTGTGGTGATTGCAACACTATTCTGAAAAAAGCTGTTTTATTCTGAAAAGGGTTGGTGGAGCTCTACTTAGTGGCAGAGAAGCAGGCACTGATGTCCCTGAGCACTGAAGAGTTCTGAAGATCCTCCACTCGTTAGGATTATAAAGCTGCCTTTCTTCTCAAGCAGGGCTCTGTCCACCAGTCTCTAACCCTCACTGTCAGCGAACACTCAGCTCTGAAACTGCAACCTTGGTCTTCCCCAGAGACCAACACAAACAGACTGTGTCCAGCCCTTCTAAGAATGTATTGTCATACAGAAAGGATATGGAGGCCAGATGTGGTGGCACACACCTTTAGTCCCAGCACTTGGGAGGCAGAGGCAAGCAGATCTTTGTGAGTTCAGGGGCAGCCTGATCTCCATAACAAGTTCCAGGACAGCCAAGGCTACACAGAAACACCATGTCTCAAAAGAAAAGCAAGTGTATCTAGAAGGAGGGTGTGAAGAGTGGACATGAGTCACTGGGAGTTATTTGCTGAATTCTGTGATTTGTAATGTCTTCCTTCTCCATCTAAGGTACCAGTGATCCTTGCAAGTCTAACTCCTGTGGAAGAGATGCTTCTTGTGTTAACCTGTTTTCTGATCACTACTGCTTGTGTCCACAAGGTTATTACTATCGAAACTTGTCGTGTGTGAAAGGTAAGCTGCTACAAGGGATAACCACAGCAGAGCCCTGCATCCTTATCTAAAGTGGGCTTTAGTGGAATCTCAAAAGGATAGTAAAAGGGGCAGAAGAAAAACCCGTGGCAAGCGGGTCAGGTGAGAGTCTCTTGCTTTTGTCCCAGCCAACCCTGGGGGAGTAGAAATAGAGTTAAGGCAGATTTGCAAGCAAGCTAGGCTGAAGGTCTGGTGTGGGTAGAACATTCCCTCTGCTGCTCTGAAATGTTCTAGATACAAAGGGAGAGCAAGTGTTGCCAGAGCCCCTGAAAATGACTCCATGATGACAAGACCTTGTCCACAGTGTACCATGACAGTGCTAGGGCACTGAGACAGAAGAGGGTAACAGGCTGGGTCCCTGAGCTGAGCTGTCACAGCTCCAGAAATGGACTTTGACTACACCTCAGTACAAGCTGGCTTAGATCACCTGGTGTGTGGAGCCCGAAGGCTGCCCATCTAAACCAGCAGTTCTCAGCCTTCCCAATGCTGTGAGCCTTTAATACAGTACTTCACATTGTGGTGACCTGCCCCCCCAACCATAAAATTGTTTTCATTGCTACTTCATAAGTGTAATTTTGTTACTGTTATGAATCATAATGTAAATGTCTGTGTTTTCTGATGGTCCTAGGAGACCCCTGTGAAAGGGTCATTTGACCCCCAAAGGGGTCACCTCCCTCAGGTTGAAAATCACTGGTCTAAATGATTCCCTTTTGTTCTGCTCCATGAATAAGAAATAACTTTTCTTGCTAGAGCAGGTCAGTGGTGTACGAAGTACGTGCTCTGCTGCCCAGATATATCCCCCAAAGTTTGTATTTTTAACACTAAATAGCCTAATTTCTGGGGATCTACTCTATGTAAATGATCCCCCCAAAACCCTTCTGTTTTAAATACTGAGCACTAAGTTCAATAATAATAATAAAATATAATAATAAAAGGCAGACATGGTGGCACATGTCTTAAATCCCAGCACTTTGGAGGCAGAGCAGGCAGTTCTCTGTGAGTTCCAGGCCAGCCTGGCCTACAAATGTGAGTTCCAGACAAGCCAGTAGCCAGAACTACACAGTGTGACCATCTCTAAAGGGGGGAAATGAAAAGGAAAAGAAAGCAAAAAAAGAAGAAGAAAAGTAGCTTATGTTTTAAACACAAAATTGAAGCAGACCTACTAACATTAAATAACTCAGGAAGGGTTTGCTTGATTTTCAGGAAAGACATTCCCTGGAGAGATCAGCATCATGAACGTGACGGATCAGCAAGAACTTAGCTTGCAAAATGAAACCTCTGAGACCTATCAAGACTTTCACAACTCTGTTATCGAATTTGTAAGTGTTTGCCACTTTCCCATCTACAAAGTATCTTCCTTCTCACCTGGACCTGTGCCGAGTGGGGCCGGTCTTCATGTGGCCACATGGCACAGTTGTATGTGTTGTTGACAAAGTGAAATGTACCCTGCCTGGTGGGCATGTAGATCCCTTGGGATTCTTGGGCCTCCAAATGGTTGTGTACCCGAGAGAGCACCTGGTATAGCCCTGCCAGGCCTCCAGAAAGCAGTCTTGGGATGCTCCAGGCCTGCCTGTTATAGAAGCTATTGGTGGGTTTTGAATAGACAAGAGCTCTAATAGTGTCTTAAATTATTTCAGAGCAGGCTGGGGCTATGGCTTAGTGGTAGTGTACTTTTCTAGCATGAAAAAGTCCTGAGATTTTATCCCATAGCATAGCAACTTAATCATTCATTATTTTGGACTGGGGAATGTAGCTCAGTGGTAAAAACATTTTCTTTTTTTCTATGTTCAGATTTACATAAATTCCATACCAATATGACTTATTTTTACCTGTAATAGAGGAACTATATCTGATATTTCCCCCCTCCATTTTCAAAAATGTGACAAAAACATTTCACTTCATTTCTACACTTGAGAGTGAGTGTGTTGGCAGGGAAGGAGTGGTGTGTGGAAAGCCATTCGGGAGCCATAGTTGTTGGGCCTGGGAAAGTCTCCACAGCATCCAGTCAGCCAGTGTTCAGACACCTGAGCTCAGCCAGGGCTGGATATTCCTGGGGAGCCAAGGAGATAGTGAAGCATTCTTATGGCTTCAAAGAGTGTTTGTGTTTGTGTGGTTTTAGAGAGGGTTTTTGTGTTGTTGCTCTTTTAAACATGTTTTGTTATTTGTGTATGTGCATGCATGGGTGTGCATATGTCCTAGTGTCTGTATCAGAGGACAGCATTCAGGAGTTGGCTCTCCTTCCACCTTGCTGAGGCATGGTCTCCTGTTTCTGCCACACATTTTCCAGGCTAGCTGGCCCTCCAGCTTCAGGTGGTTCATGCCCTTAGGCCCAGCACTAGGGAGGCAGAGGCTGGCCAATCTCTGTGTGTTCAAGGCCAGCCTGGTCTACAGAGCAAGTTCCAGGACAGGACAGGACATCCAAGACTGTTACACAGAGAAACCCTGTCTCTAAAAACAAAGAAAAAATAAGAATGCTGGGATTACAGATGTGTGCCGCATTTACCCATCTTTTATTTTTTAAGATTAATTTATTTATGCATCTTATGTATTTGAGTGCTCTGTCTTCATGCACATCAGAAGAGGGTATCCAGTCCCATTACAGATGGTTGTGAGCCCCCTTGTGGTTGCTGGGAATTGAACTCAGGACCTCTGGAAGAGCAGACAGTGCTCTTAACCATTAAGCCATCTCTCAAGCTCCTGCATCCATCTTTAATGTGGGTCCTAGGAATTCAACTCAGATTTGGGATCACTTTGACTTGCTGAGTCCTGCTTAAGGCCCTTTTCAGTGTTTTGAGACAAGGTCCCACATGTATTCCAGACTGGCCTGGAACTCACTATATAACTAGGGATGACCTCAAATGATGGTAGTCCTCCTGTCTCAGCCTTTTGAATGCTGGGATTATAGGCATGAGGCACCATGCCTGGTTTCAAAGAGATTTTTAATCTAAAGGGGGATATTTCAGAACCCCTTGACAGTCTCTGGAGCAGTTAGGAAATCAGAGACCATCTCCTTCTCAACAGACCTTGTGTGCCAGTCCCAGCTCAAGCCATGAGATGTCTCCCAGAGTCTGTTTACTATCAAGCTAAGTCTCTTTGCATAGAGATTTCCAGATTCTCTGTTGAGCATTTTCCTGGGATACTAAGCTCAATGTTTCTGACAAAAAAAAAAAATGTTATTTTTGTAAATAAGCTGGGGCTTGGGGCATAGATCTGTGATCCCAACTACTTGGAAGGCTGGTCAGGAGGATCACAAGTTCAAGGTTTGCCTGGACTAAAGAGTGAGTTCAAGGCCAATCTGATATATATATATATATATATATATATAGATATATATATAGAGAGAGATATATATCTTCTATATATATATATATCTTCCATATATATATCTATATATATCTATATATATAGATATATATATGGAAGAATTAGATTGGGCATATGGTTCAGTGGTATAACACTTGCCTAGCATGTATAGGACCCTGGGTTCAATTCCTAGAACCCCAAAATAAACGGATACATAAGTATACAAACATAAAATGAAAGAGCTCAACAGTAGAGTAGTTGTCTATTATGTACATAGCTTAGTTGGTAGAACACTTGTTCCTAGGTTTCTTCTTCACAAATTCACCATCTGGGTGTGGTGGTACAAGCCTGCAATCCCAGCATTTCAGAGATGGAGGCAGGAGGAGGATCAGGAGTTTAAGGTCATCCTTGACTACATAGTAAGTTTGAGGCCAACCTGAGCTACATGAAACCCTGTCTCAGGAAGGAAGGAAGGAAGGAAGGAAGGAAGGAAGGAAGGAAGGAAGGAAGGAGGAGGGAGAGGGGAAGGGGGAGGGAGTGGGGGAGGGGGGGGGGGGGGGGACGGGGGGGGGGGAGAGAGAGGGAGGGGAGTGGAGAGGGGAAGGGGGAGAGAAGGAGGGGAAGCAAGGGAAGAAAGAAGGAAAGCAATGTTTAAATCTAGAATATAATTTTGAAAAATTTCACCTTGTTATTGCATCTATTCTCCTCCACAGTTTGCAAGTGCATTGAATAAGAGTGATTTTGGCTTTGGACAGACTATAATTTTTAAAGTGAGGTAAGTTTGCTCTGGACCAGTGAGCTACTTTGGAGGCAGCGTATTTTTGCTTCACTTCTGCTCTTCTCTTGAGCTCCCATGTCATGAGCCATCTTGTGTTAAGTCACAAGTCAAGAAGAGGTAGCCACGGGGTTGGGGAGATGGCTCAGTTGGTAAAAGGCTTGCCTACAAGCACAAGGAGCTAAGCCTGGATCTCCAGCACCCATATAAAAGTCCTTACCCAGTGGTCCATGTTTGTGAGCCGCCCAGTGCTTGAGAAGTGGAGACAGGTAGATCCCTGGAACTCGATGGCCATTCAGCCTAGCCAAGTTGGTGAGCTCCAGGTTCAGTGAGACTCTGTGTCCTAAGGTGGACTGTCCCTACCCCTTCAATGGCAGACCTGCAAGTCTAAACAGAGCCATGGTGTTTCAGGATGGGTTTGCTAAAGTCAACAAAGATAAAGGGTACTTTAGGGGACAACAAGAGAATTTAGGAGAGGGTAAAGCTGGTTGCTATGCTCAGAATTCTTTGGTTTTCCAGGACAAAAACAAGTACAACACACCCAAATACAGGAGACAGCTCATGTAACTGGCAGGGATAGCATCTTTCATATTGCTTATGATGGATGGAAAGGGTTTAACAGCCTGTGCTCATGAGCTACCAAGATACTGTGTGAAAGCTATAGGCTCGGTACTTGTCTGTTGCTGGCTCATGGACTTCTCAGCAGATTGGGCATAGCCAAGGTCTACAAAGGCAAGTGGCGCTAGTTGGAAGGGAACACATTGTGGAAAGCACTGGTGGTCAGCCAAGGCTTTTACTGGCTGTTGGATGCTTCTTGCCAGAATAGCAACTAGTAATAAAGTTCTGGGGCTCAGGAAGGAGCTGTGGATAGAGGCTTATCCATGAATGGCAGTTCCAGAGGACTCCCTGGTCATGATCCAGTGAAGCATATCATGGTACAGAATGTTGCAGATTATATGAGGGAAGAAGATGAAGCTGTAAGAAACAGTTCTTGGGCCAGCAAGATGTCTCAGTGGGTGAAGGCACTTGCTCCTCCATATGTGTGCTGCAGCACTTGTGAACACACACACACACACACACACACACACACACACACACACGCACACACGCACACACACACAAGAAGAGGTGGGTAGCCAGACTGCTACACAGGGAACTGTGTGCCTCAGGGATGCCTCGATACTGACTATACTGACTCAGGCTAGGGGGAGCAGATGTGGCCTGGAGAAGGAAGGCTGTTGATGGTTGTCCAACATCTTGCTCATATGGACCAGGCCATCATATGAACTAGTTTGGTTGGATCCTTTGGTTGCCGATCATACCTTATCAATCCCTGGCTTGAGAACTCCACGTGCCTTCCAATGGACTGCTGTTTTCAGCGTAGTTTCTCTGAATACATGTCAAATAGAAGCCACCAGGCTGAAAATTAGACACTACATTGCCGGGACCTCCATATGTGGTCTATAGCTGTGGGGCTAGGACAAGAACTCAAGAGATTTAGACATCAGGGGGGATTTAAATACTATGTGTTGGTTGACTCTTTGGTTCAATTCATCATGGACATCTTTGTTTCATTTTCAGTGACCCCCTTTCTCTGTCAGCAAGATCTGCAATGCCTGCTGCTGAAAAGACTTTCAGTGTATCAATAGTAAATATGTTTGATGAAAACACAACGCAGAATGAAACTACTATATCTGGTGCAATTAAAAAGGCAATTAAGGATAAGAATATTTCGATGCACTATACTAGTAAGTACTAAATAATTCTACTTAAAGTTTGCCTAAAGATTTAACTTTCTGTTAAGCTTTCTATTATATGTGAGAAGAAGGCAAGTCAAGAGATGTATTGCTGTCTCCAAGTCCTCCTCCCTTTTTGATACAAGGTTTGATACAAGGTTTTCTCTGTGTAACAGTCCTGCCTGTCCTGGAACTCAATCTGTAGACGGTGTTGACCTCAAACTCAGAGATCTCCTGACTCTGCCTCCTGAGTGCTGGGATTAAAGACATGCACCACCACCACCAACCAGCTCCAAATTTCCCTTTTAAAAAGATTTTATTTAGTTAGTTATTTTTAATTATATGTGTAATGTGCACATGAGTGTAGGTACCCAAAGAGGTCAGAGGTATTTGATTCCTTGGAGCTGGAGTAACAGCTGCCTGATGAGGGTGCTGAGAACTAAGTCCAGTCCTTTGGAAGAACACCAAGTGCTCTTACCTGCTAAGCCATCCCTCCAGCTCTCTCTCTCTCTCTCTCTCTCTCTCTCTCTCTCTCTCTCTGTGTGTGTGTGGGTGTGTGTGTGTGTGTGTGTGTGTGTGTGTGTGTGTGTTCACGCGCGCGCGCGTGCGCGCGCCCATAAGAGAGAGAGAGAGTGGGGGGCTGTCTAGAAGTCAACCCAGATCTGGTCACTGTGAGTTCTGGCCATACCCCTAGTGTTGGGGATTAAACCTAGGACCTCATGGATGCTAGTTAGGTGTCCACCAGAAGTCTACCTTTTTTTTGATGGGGCCTCACTTATTTTTTAACTCATTGATTAGGTTAGGCTGGGTGGCCAGTGAGCCCCCAAAAGACCCCCTATCCCCACTTCTCCAGAGCTAGAATTACAAGTGAGCAACACACCTGGGTGCTTTTTTGTTGTGTTTTGTTTTGTTTTGTTTTGTTTTGTTTTGTTTTGTTACAAGTAGGAACCACCATGCCTGGCTTCTTTATGTGGGTACTCAAGATTGAACTCAGGTCCTCATGCCTCCATAGCAAGCAGTTTATTGTGGTGATATATTGTTTATGATTTATTAAAGCTTGCCTGAGGGTGCAGAAAGCAGAAAGCAAATCTAGCCACAAGCCATAGAGCCAGGCATTGGTGGCACACACCTTTAATCCCAGGACTCAGGAGACAGGTAGACAGATCTCTGTTAGTTCAAGGCTACACAAAATTCATCCAGTCTAAAAGAGAAACAGAGTTCATACAAAGGAGATCTCAGCAGTTGGGATCCCATACCTTTAATCCCAGGATTTGAGAGGTATAAAGGGAAGAAGCAAAGGGTCTCATGAGAGATTTAGTCTCCAGCCATGTTGAGGAGAGGCAGCAGTCTGAGACTTGGTGGAGAGCTCATGGAGACAGGATCACCTGTTTCGGTCTGAGTTAGAGGTAAGAGCTAGTGGTCAGCTGCTTTGCTAATCTGACCCTCAGCTTGAACCCCAATATCTGTCCTCTGACTTTCATATGTATGCTGGGTTTTTATTAGACAAAAAGGGGAATTGTGGTGATTTGTTATTTATGATTTATTAAAGCTTGCCTGAGGGTACAGAAAACAAAGCTAGCCATAAGCCACAGAGCCAGTCAAAGGCGATACACACCTTTAAAACCAGCAGCCTTATTAGTTAGCTATAGAAGTTAGGCTATGGTGGTACACCTTTAATTCCAGGATTTGAGAGGTATAAAAAGAAGAAGCAAAGTCAGGCTTAGAGGATTTGTCTCCAGCCACGTTGAGGAGAGGCAGTCTGAGGCTTGGTGGACACAGGATTGCTAATTCTGTCTGAGGTAGAGGCTTGGCTGTTTTGCTTCTCTGATCTTTACCTTAAAGCTTGAACCCCAATACCAGTCTCTAGGTTCAAGTGGGCACCATCATGCCTGTCTTTCTCATTTTTACACTCTCTGAACATCTCCCTCCACCCTGAAACCAGCCATGCACTCTTAAATAGATTACTAAGAACCACAAGCTGGCATCTAGAGATAGCCTCAGAACAACCTGCCCCAGATGGAAGCCAATGCCTCAGCTGTCCTGCTCTTCAGGTCTGGTCACAAAATATATTCTCTTCTGGGCCTTCTTTTTTTTTCTCTAGGTTTGGATTGGAGGTTATACTGATTAGTTTTATGTCAACTTGTCACAGGCTAAAGTCATCAGAGAAGAGGGAGCCTCAGTTGAGAGAACACCTCCATTAGATCTGGCTGTAGGGAAGCCTGTAGAACATTTTCTTAATCGGTGATTAATGGGGGAGGGCCTAGCCCGATATGGGTGCTGCCACCCCTGGGCTGCTGGTGCTGGGTTCTATAAGAAAGCAGGCTGGCTGGGTGTTGGTGGCGCATGCCTTTAATCCCAGCACCTGGGAGGCAGAGGCAGGCAGATCTCTGTGAGTTCAAGGCCAGCCTGGTCTACAGCTCAAGTTCCAGGACAGCCAGAGCTGTTACACAGAGAAACCCTGTCTTAAAAACAAAACAAAACAAAACAAAAAAACAAAAAAAAAACTAAAACCAAAACAAACAAAAACCTTAAAAAAAAAACAAAAAAAAACCAAAAACTTAGTGTCTCTAGACTAACATTTAAATGTCACTGTATCTACAGCTGAACAGAAGAATGCAGGCTTATTAAGGCTCCTGTTGTGGGCACTGTCATTTACATTAGCTCACTCTATTCTCACAGCAATCATGTGAACAAGAATTATTAGCACCGTTTCATAGGTGGAGGAAACTTGGACCCATCAAAAATCAAATGATATTGGATGGAGAGCAGAGTGCGAAAGTGAGGGAGTGACATGCTTTCATGAATCATATGACCTTGCTCAATGTGTTTTTTAACTATTTATGCCTCTCACAGTACAAGATGTGTGTGACTTTAACAACTGTAAACAACAGAATGATACAGACAAGTGCCAGAATGGTTTCCAATGCCAATGTAAACCTGGATACATAAGGCCGAGCAAACTGATTCCTTTTTGTGTTCTTTGTAAGTGTCCCAACGGCTCCCAAACAGCCCTCACAACTCTCACTTTCTCTCCTCTAGTATTTTCTTTTGGGGGGGGCATGGGAGTCGGGGGTTAGAGGGTGTTTTAAAACAAGGGTTCTCTGTGTAGCCCTGCTGTCCTAGAACTTGCTCTGGAGATCAGGCTGGCCTCAAACTCACAGAGATCCACCTGTCCCCAAGTTCTGGGATTAAAGTTGGGATTAAGTTGCCTCCCAAATTCTGGGATTAAAGGTGTGAGCCACCACCACCTGATTTCTCTTTCTTTCTTTCTTTCTTTCTTTCTTTCTTTCTTTCTTTCTTTTTTTATTAGTTCAAGTTAGGGAACAAGCTTGTTTCACATGTAAGTCCCTTCTCCCTCCCCACACACCATCCCTCCTCC